AGCAGAAGCACAAGAAAACAAACTAAAGAGCTCACCATGGTTTTTGGCCTCCCATCGACCTTTGGACAGATCTCGCCAGCAACGCTCTGAGTAAGAGAGGCGAGGCTAGCTTTCAGACCCAGCCCTCGAGGTCTGGGACCCCACCAGGAAACTAAGCAGCAGCTGCACCATTTTAAATGGGTTAGACTGATGAAAAATATAAATCCTGGGAAAAGAAAAAAAGCAGGTATAAACCTGTTGCGTACTCATGTTTCATATTCCACTCCTCGGGGAACGGCATCCAATCGGCAAGAATCAGATCGGAAGTCCTGACTCAGACAAACCGGCTCATATACCCATGGTCTTTGTCCTCATCAATACTAGCAAACAGAGATTTTAAGGATTGGCGTTGCAATTTTATCAAGCCTCCATCATAAAGTCGGGGATTGTACAGTCTGATCAGATGATCGAGGGTAAAAGACATCCCCTCGATTTGGCTCAAAAAGAACCTGATTAAGTAAATGATTCGCCAGAAGGAGGGGTAGATATGGTCGAGCGTCACTCGGTATCATTGGCAAAAGTCAAGAATAACTGGATCTTTGGGACCCTGAGCCGGAATTGCAGGACCCAACATAAATGGGTAGGTGTATACGCTCGGGTACCCCGCTTTATACATGGTGATGTCCTCCTCGGAGGAAGGAATCATTATTTCTTTATTGTCCCATTTACAATCTTCCTTTACTTGCTTGAGCTCGGCCTTGGTCACCAGACAAACATATCGAGACATGGGCTCGCATCGTCCTGGTGTCAAAATAGGTTTCTCGATTTTAAAATCGAATGTTATTTCACATGGGGGGAATACACTCCTCGATACGAGGGGGCACTACTAGTTTACCCTTGGTCGGTTGAGAAGATGATGAAGCTTTTTTCCTTTTGGGAAACCAATTTGGAGGTTTTAGCCATCGCAATACGAAAGATCCAAGAAAGTGAAGAGTGTTGATAGTGAAGATAAGGGAGAGCTCAAGGAGATTGAAAAAAGGGTATTGAAACTTCAAAAACAATATGGGAATAAAGTTTGTAAGGTTGTGGAATCTGTCTATTTATAAAGGTCACTTAAGAGTGCGGAGGAAGCCAAAAGGCTGACCGTCAGCCGCCTCCAATTAATGACTTTAGGAATCGCACAAAAAGTAACTTTTCAGTCGCTTCAATCGCTGACGTTGCAATATTTGTGTCAGGACCAAGGCATCAAGGATTAATCCGTCAAAAATCATAAGGGCCGCTCGAGTTCGAGAAGATTCTCACTCGGGGGCTATCTATGAAGATTCTCACTCGGGGACTATCTATGAAGCTTAAGAGCTAACTTTATTTCGAGTTCGAGCAAGTACTCACTCGACTACTAAGCCCAAGGGCTACCCGAGTTCGAAAAAATTCTCACTCGGGGACTATCTACGAAGCCTAAAGAGCTAACTTTTTTTCAAATCCAAGACCTTACTCTCACTCAACTCGAACTTAGGAGTCCTGGTGTCCCGAGCTCGCATCAAATCAATTTAAGCTTAGCTCAAGGATTAATAAAGAACCTTAAGAGGTACTCCCTCTGTTCCAGTTTATGTGAACCTATTTCCTTTTTAGTTCGTTCCAAAAAGAATGAACCCTTTCTAAATTTGGTAACAATTTAGCTTAAAGTTACAACTCTACCCTTAATGAGAAGCTTTTATAACCACACAAATACTCTGGGCCCCATTTGGACTTGTTTAGGACCACAAATTCCAAAAGTCTTCATTTTATTCTTAAACTCCGTGCCCAGTCAAATAGGTTCACATAAATTGGAACGGAGGGAGTATTATATTGGTCGATTAAAAACCTAAGGGTTTATTATGTTCCGATCCAGTATTCGGACTAATCATTAGAGTTATACACTCGGATTTTTCACAAATGAAGGCAGAATGGAATTCAACACGAATCGAAGATGAAATAGAAAAATTCTTTATATTGACAAAAGATATTTACTAAGCCCATGAGGGGACCTTACATAGAAACAAAGAAGCAAAAACAAAAATCCAAGAACCTAATATACTTTTGGGGGCATATCCTCGAGAGCGGCATCTTCGAGAACCTCCTCCTCGGGGACTCCATCTTGATCTTTAGAGAAAATTATAGCCTGGTGAAAAACTTGGTGAGTGTGGGTCTTATCAGCACAACTATTTTAAAATCATTTCTTGAGATGTTGTACCGGTGTAGAATGCAAATGTTAGTAGATGATAGTGCCACCTCACTCCATGGAAAGGAAAAGGAATGAAGCACCACACCAGGTTGAAGTTAAGAGAGATGAGCAGCAGTGTAAAGTTTGCATATCTTCTTATACGGGAAGAATTCGACGCCCTTCTCTCGTTGTTTCGAGCCAACAACAACAACTTAGTATAATCCCACTTAGTGGGGTAAAGCTTTAAAAAAGGGAGCCTTGACATAACTGATAAAGTTGCTGTCATTTGACCTTGTGGTCACAGATTTGAACCATAAAAATCGGTGATTAGAGGAAGAGATAGAGAAGGAAAAGGGCTAAAAGTTGATGAAGAAGGAATGAGTGTAGTTTTTGTTCAGCCAAGTGGCCCCCTATTTATAGAAAGCGAGTGACGGTTCAGCGGCACAAGTGGCCGATTAATGCTGGCATACATTCAATGCTTTTGGGGAAATGGATCGGCGAGACGTTCAATGCTTTTGGGGATATGAACCGGCGGGACGTTTCGATCACTTCAAGCACCTACGTCACAAGCATGACGTCATCGCGAGAGGCTCGGGAAAATTGAGGTTCAAATTATTTTTTATCATCTTATTCTAAGAAACGCGGGGACTATCTGTGTACGGTCAAAACCAAGGAGCTTGATTTTGAAGTCTTAAATTGGGCTATGAGTTCGAGTCCGGGCAACTCGAAGTGGGGGTCGGACCTGGCTGAAGAATACACACACCGAGAAAGTAGATCAAAGGTCTGGCACGACCTACATCGAGAGCAGTACATTCTCGAGGGTACTCAAGAAAGAGCGGGAATTACTCAGGGACACGTGGATCAAGGCATAAATTAAAGGATAAGATTTGTACGAAATGGTACAGATTCGTACTAGGTTGTTATACACCTGTACCAATATAATTCTTACTTCAATTAGGAATGTACTATATTGGGGTTTTCTCCTCTTATATAAAGGGGACCCCAATCATTTTGTAAGCATCATCTCACACTATTCACTGCAATAGAATATTCTACTCTGCTTTTCTTGTTTAATGTGCTCAACAAGTGTTCTTCAGCTTTATTGCTTTTACTTTATTATTCATACTTCATTGTTCTTAGTTGACCTCGAGGTCCCCAAAAAAGTCAAGCTCGAGGTCCTCATTGTTATAGCAATGTTGGTTTGGTTCATCAATTCTTCTTACTTAAACTTAATATTACTTGTATATTCATTAGTATTAGAATAAATTACATATTTTTAAAACCACAAATTACATTTAATTGTTACCTCCATTTTTCGAAGTAAACAGTCAAGATAATTGAAATAAGGAATTTTAGTAGAATGAATCAATATTAAGTGCTTAATGCATTATATTATTATGACTAGTTGCGTAACCGAAAGGAGTGTTTCTTGTTAGCATGGGTGGAGATTTCTTTCTGACAAAATGTTCTTCTCTGTCGAGTCTTCAAAGCTAAATATTTTTGTTCATGGACTTTCTTATCGACGTAATTAGGCCAAAATCCTAGATACGTTTGGAAGAACATTTTGCTTTGTAAGGAGCTATTGTAAAATGGTGTCAAGTGGGGAGTGGATAATGGTAACAAAAATTAGTACTATTGGTAATGACCCTTAGCTGCCTTTGGATATAATTTTTTTCTCGAAAGTCATTTATCTATTTAAGCTCAAGGTATGTGGGTTACTGCTTTGTGAAGATGGTAGAAGGTGGGATGAAGAAAACGTTTTCTCTATTTTTAATGAAGAAAGAGAAAAGCAAAAATGATATGTATTTCAGTTAATGTAAGAGTAGAGGTTGATCGCTTAATTTGGCATGGTTAAATCAAGTTATTATCTTTGCTACTAACTCTCTCTGGCTTCAGATGTGCACGGGGATTTTGTTAACTAGAAAAAGCTTTGGCACTTGGAGTTATCTCTAAAAATTAAAGATTTTTATTTAGAGATTAGCTCGAAATGGCATGCCTATTTAAGTCAAATTTACTAGCTAAAAGCGTTAATCTTCAAGTGGGGTGTTATTTTTGAGGATCGGAGAAAGATAGTAAACATGTGTTCCATGGCTGAAAAGTGGTTGGTAGATCTTATGGATGTTTTCTCTTGGGTTATGGCCACTTCTTGGTCTAAGCCTCCACATGAAATCTGAAAATGCAATATTGATGCAGCTATTTCCTTGCTTCAGGTCACAAGGGAGAGTAGGGTTTGTTGTACATGATTATGCAAGTCAATTTATTGCTGCAACTTCTTCGATTTTTCAAGGTCGAAATTATGGGATTGCATTGCTCTCGGCTAATTGTTCCTATATTTTTGGTTGCCCATGTATTATCGAATGTGATGCTCAGAAAATTGTACTTGCCTACAAGCGTTGTTGGATAATTGATGTTTCTTGTTAAAGAAAAATACCAATGTTTTTCTAGTTTGGATTAAAGGCAAACAAATTTTGATTGCTCAATGCTTGACAAGAGAATCTAAAATTTTACTAATTTTTCCCCTTTCTATTAGGAGCAAGCTCCTAATTTTATTGTAAATTTGTTGGTAGATAATTCAGTTTTAATAAAACTGTTTGTTTGAGTTTTCTTTTTTTTTTAAAAGGAGAAGAATCAATATTGAGAACCCTCATGATCGCCAACCTATTAATGGTTAACCAAATATCTTCACAACCTGACAATCAAAGGCCAGGCACAACCTACCTTAGCAGAAAATCAAAACTCGAGCAGCACCCCGTGTGATCATAAGAAGCTTTTTTTATACTGAGCGTCTCATGATGAACAATAAGATGATTCACATACATGATACGCAATGAACAATAAGATGATTCATATACATGATAAGCGAGTATATACAGAGACAAAATTAGCAGGGAAATAGGAAAATGCCTTTATGAGGCAACAAAATTGGAAGAATTACCAGTACAAATACATATCGGTCTCACTATGATGAGCCTAGCAATTCTAATGACTTCAGTTGCATCTAAAATATCTCCCAGGTGGTGATCTACTACTCCCCTACATATGAACATTCTGCTAACTGGCTAAATGGACCAAATGCAGATANGCATCTAAATATCTACTCCCCTACATATGAACATTCTGCTAACTGGCTAAACGGACCAAATGCAGATAAAAAAGCCCTTTCTTAGAGATTAAAGAGATATCTAAGATCTTCTACAGTTAGTCGACTAGCTGTGCCTCCACTTTGATCTTCACCAAAAGCGGATGCAACCATATTTCTTTTGTCCTCCTGAAATTATAAGATGATATTGAAATCTAAAAGATTAGGCATCGATGAACACTACACAAGGTGCGCATAAGAGCCAAAGCTAATCACCATTCTGCGTTTTAACCAATATAAAACAGAAAGCAAATTACAGAAGAAAAAGGAGAGAAGATGGTTGCTGAATAGATACAAGGACAATAATCACAAGAATAACACAGTAAAAAAATAAGAACAGGATTTTAGAAGGCCAGGGAACAGAATCAGAACAAACTTAAGGGGGGGATGGAGGGGAGAAGGAGAAAGTGAGATATAACGACTTGCCAAACATCATGCCAAAAAACTATGCGGTTCAACTAAAGAACATATAGAAAAAATGTGGGGCTGATCCTTCATTGTTAATCCAGATACAGTGAGAGGTTAACCTGGAGAGCTAGAATTCGATCTTCAACTGTGCCTTCAATTGTTAATCGAGACACAGTGACCGCACGAGTTTGTCCTATTCTGTGAGCTCGATCAATAGCCTGATCTTCAGTAGTTGGATTCCACCAAAGGTCAAGAAGAATTACGTGACAAGCTGCCACCATATTTAGGCCAAGATTTCCAGCCTTTAGTGACATCAACATGACAGTCACCTGCAAAAGAACTTACGCTTGAATTTGAAAATACAATAGGGTTCAAGGAGAAAGAAATGGCTAGATTGGGAAATCCAAAGTATGCAATTAAAAACTTCAAAACAAAGAAGCACTACCTTGCTGTACTGGTGCTCCAATGTGCTAAAGAAATGACTAAATAACGCATAGCTATTAGTCCACACCACTCTATTTAAGTTTTTATACTAACTGCGAACATGGTGCTAGAGAAGGTACTCCTTGTCAATATAAAGACCAGTAGAAGGAAAAGGACATTCAAACTCTTTGAATGAATTGCATGTATGATAAGGGTATAGCAGGAAAAAAATTTCCTGAAGAAAAAACATATGCACAGACATCTCCTGAATGGTATATGAACGTAAAATTATCTAGTAATGAACATATTCAAGGTTAGACCTATATCTTACCATCAAATAATAATCCTGAAGTCCTATGACAGTATTGCTAAATTATCATTTCTGAGCAGTGTACTAGGAAGAGGGTATTCAAGGTTTGGCACCACTCAAGCACAAAGAAGAGAAACAAAAGCACCCCGCTAAAGTTTTTCACAAAACTAGCGAACGTTCTTCACACTTACGTGAGAAAAATATAAGATGAAAAGAACCTTACCCACTCGTTCCTCAATCCCACAAGATTACACGAAGAGTTAAATAAAGGAAGAAAAACGAAATAAAAGACAAACCACGACTTTGAAGCAAGAGCTCAGAAAAACTAATCACCAATGTTTATTTCCAGCATACTGAGCCCTTTAAATAGGCATTATTATAATGAGCAAAATTGATGAGGATAAGGCAAAATCCTAATTAAACCAGAATAAAAACAAGGTTACGAAAAACATAACTAACTAAAATAGGAAAAAGAATTCTAGTAGGAATGAAATACTAATTAACAATCTTAGTTGACTAGAACTACAAATATAATCCTACTAACACAAGAACCAAATTACTAGGAAACAAGAAATAAAAACTCCTAATCTTTATGGATAAGAAAGCCTAATATTCAATGGATTCTAAGACTTCTTGAATTTCTCTTGCATCATTCTCCCCTGGTTGACAAAGACTCGTCCTCGAGTCTAACAGCTTCCGTAAATAGTGCAAGATTTGTTATAGTAAAGAATGGGGACCAAATACTCACCAAGATTAAGTTACATTTTGTATGCTTATCACAAAGCAGCTTCACGTTGTAAGAAAACTTTGCATTTGGTCGAACTACATCCCTCTTTCTAAGTTTCAAATTTCTACCAAGCCTTCTCCATGTAATCTCTTTCTATGTTGACTCTCAAACATCAACTTACGATATAACGTTATTGGTGTTAAAACTTCAGGGAACTTAACGCTCTTCTTGGGAATTAAGCATGGAGAACAACACTCTTCTTGGGAATGCATCAATTGCAACGCTTGTACACCAAGCGTCGCTTTGGGGATAGCTGGATATAGTTATGACATGAAGATATCTTCTTTTCTTTTTGATGAAGTATGAAGATATATTGTTTCTCCAATATACCTCAAACTCTCTATTATCCACTTTTTTAAGGTAATCCTTGTTCTTGCTCATGCATATTTTTATGGACTTTAAAATTAACGCAATATGCTACCTTATTTGGAATGATGGAGTCAACAATTATGTCAATATTGTGTTTGAGCATCTCTGTAAAGCGGAAAGTCGATGACAAACATGGTTGGATACTCTAATAGATCATCATAAAACTTTGGTGGTAAAGCCTCAACTTGTGGATCCAATGCATGGTCTTTGTTTCTTTGATATTGGTCTTCATCGGTTCCATCATCTTCGTTCCTTGAAAATTTGAATGTTTATCATATTGAGAATGGTGCCTCGGTACTCTTATGCCTTGGTTAGCCTCAACCTCTTCAACTTGCTCAATATATCTTGCTCTATGCGATTGAATTGGTGGATATCGAAGTGGTAGACGTGGTCGTATTACTGGTATGTTATATGGTGGAAGAGGTGGTGGTGGAGGTTGTAGGCGTTGTGATGGATATGGTGACTAATTTGAAGCACCAAGAGTCCAACTAATTCAGTCAGATTCGCCATTGATTCCTTCAAGCCATCTAGCTGCATTCAAAGCCATCTAGTTGCACTTTAATTTCTTCATTATCTCGTTCAAGGACTATAGTTCTTAATTTCTGAATTACAAATTTTAGCTCGATTGAGAGGATCCCACTTGTTTCTCTAGCGACATGATGGAAAATAGCAAATCAAAACTCGAAATCTGGAACCTGTGCTCTGATACTAAATTGATGTACTTTCAAGGTTTTGCCCCTCTCTCAAGAAAAAAGAAGAGAGAAAAACAAAACAAATAAACCCGCTAAAGCTTTTCACAAAACTAACGAAAGCGTTCTTCAAACTCACATGAGAAGAATGTAAGATGAAAAGAATCTTACTCACTTGTTCCTCAATCCTGCAAGATTGCACAAAGTGTTGAATAAAGGAAGAAGAACGAAATAAAAAATAAATCATGTTTTTGAAGCAAGAGAATAACCAATGTTTATTTTCACAGCATATTGAGCCATTTAAATAGGCCTTACAATGAGTAAAATTGATGAGGTTAAGGATTACAATCCTAATTAAACTAGAATAAGAATAAGGTTAAAAAACTTATCCTAACTAAAATAGGAAAAGGAATTTTTGTAGGAAAGGAATACCAACTAACAATCCTAGTTGACTAGAACTATAAGTATAATCCTACTAAACAAAAATCAAATTACTAGGAAAGAGGAAATAAGAACTCCTAATCTTTAACCTGTTACCTTGTTCAAAAAAACAGAACTCCTAATCTTGAGTGGATTCTTGGATTTCTAGAATTTCTTGGCCTTCTTGATCTTGTATCAGTACTCCTTGTGAGTATAAAGAGAAGTTATGAGCCAACTAAATTTAAATTCTTACGTGATATGCAAGCATAACAATGGCATAGCTACAAACTATTTTAGAAAAAATAGAAGGTACTGATCTATCTAAGAGGTATATGGGCCTACAACTATCGAGCAATATCGCGCAAGAGGCATAACATGATTTCTTGTCGTATCCATATTTGAAAATGCCACCTCCTGTACTTCCACTTCTTTTTTCTTTTTCTTTTTGTAGTTAGATAAAGGTGGGGTCCAAGAGAACTTGTGCGCACCTCGACTATTCTACTTAGTACCTACATCTCCCACTATTAAGGTGTTAGATAACTCTGCCGACCATGCCGACCAAGACTTAGGAGATGGGAAAAATCACCAAGTGTTTTTTGTCTCCGGTTGAATTTGAACTCTCGTCTCCAAGGTTTGCACCCACTTTAGTGGCTACTAGGCTACAGCCTTGGGTGTAGGAAGGCTAGGGAACATATGGGATATCAATTTCTGGAGAGCCATACATCAATATAAAGGGAAGAGGTTGGGGATTTACTTTTTGGATAAATAAGTTGAGATTTCTTATAGAAGAATATATCGACGTGTAGTAGGGATAGATGAAGCAGACAAGATGATATGGAGGAATCAAAGGGGAAATCTTTCAAGGTGAACTTGTTTTCAATGGAGTTACTAGCAGGGGAGTAGAGGGAAGCATATGTGGAATACAAAGGCATCAAAGAAAGTAGCTTAAAACAAAAAAAGAACCTAAGCAGTGCGAAATCTTATAGGCATGTGATTTCAGAAGGAGAAAAATTAGAGAGTTGGCTGCTTGTGCAAGGAGTTTGAAGAAAATACAGATCACCTCCAATTGCATTGCAGCTCCATATCTATGGACCATGAATAGTGAATAAAGTCTGTCGAGATGAAGGTTTAAACGATTGGCAAGTAAAAGAAGCCAACTTGGAGGATCAGACCACCATGTCTTTTGGTTTATATGGATGGAAACAAATAGCATATTCTTTCCATAATAGCTAGACGACATTAGGACTATTAGAAACATTCTTATTTCATCTAATGTTTTATGGTCCGGACTCCCGTTTGAATAGAGAGCTGGGATAACTTAATAGGAGATTGTGGTTGAAATATAAATCCATACTGTTCTGTTTTCCATACACCGTCTTGGTGTGATATTAATGAAACTTACTAAAGGGGAAAATATTGGCCATTTTGATATCTAAGAGATTGTAGCTACAAGTAAACATACAAGGAAAAGACCAACCTCAGGATTTGTGTTGAACTCTTTGACAGCCCTGTCTCTAGCAGCAAGAGACATTGTACCATCAAGCCTCTCATACCGAAAACAAGACTGGTTCAAAGCACGCTCAACCAAGTTTAACATGCCTGTCCACTGAGAGAAGATAATGGCCTTTATTGGCCCCTTGTCTTGCGATTCTGAATCTGCTTTTCCCAAATTTGACGAATCGCCATTGCATTGAACCAAGATATCTGATTCTAAATAAGGACCCTTTGACTTAGAACATGAGTGAAGAATTTCAAGAGCAGCTTTTATTTTAGAAGAAATGTACTCATTTTCCATGATGGATTTCTCATCAAATTCAGACAAGCTGGAAGGATCACCATTTACACCATCTGATACACAAGTTTTTAGGGTAGCTTTAGAATATACAGCCTCAGGACCAAGTTGCTCTTTGCATCCAAGTGCCGGACATGTATTATCTTCCCCAGTTAAATAATCTGATACACATTGATAGCAGAACACATGTTCACACATGGAGACAACTGCATCTTCGGGCACATCCTGGGGAAATAACAAAGTAGATATCAGACTAGTATGTACAACTATTGATAGTTGTACCATGACAAAGACCATAACTATAAAACAAACTAATAAAATAAATCGAAAGACGAGAAATGTGCTACTAGAGAGTGCAATGCAATAGTTATCTTCAACTGTAGCTATACATTCATAGCTAAAAGAGCTCAAATCAATCTAGATGCACATAAGGTATTCCACTTAATCTTCAGATTTATTCACATTTTCCTTTTACAAGGGGGGCAAAAGCACTTTTGACTTCAAATGCTTTGATGGATAGCAATTTGAAGCTAGTACATATCAGATATGACAGCTCACTGAATTTATTTTGTCTGTGGACTTATAGTTACACCATTGCTTTGCACTCATTAGTTGTACTTGTACCTTTGAAGTTTTAAGCTATTTGGTTTGGGAGGCTCCAGTTAGTCAGGGAGATATGGAGGAGGTAATGATAGGTTTTAGCTCACAACATGTTTCAAGGGCAGTATAGACAGTTGAGTTCAGCTTGTCGATAAGGTAATCATGATTGATGGGAGTGTAATCTGAAGCATTTTGTTTTCAGACCAGATCAATCAATGTTTTCTTTCATTTTATTCCTATTCTCTTTGAATTCCTCAAAGCCCATAGAATCTTAACATTTGCCTTGGAGTAGCGGAATTCAGCTTAAGAGTGACAGAAATACACACCAGCTGCCTAGCTCTCTCCTTTCTCCTCTCTTCAGCACCCAAAATCCCTTTTTATCTAACCGAGAAATCCCCGAGGGCTAGTGGCGGACAGTTTGAAACTCGGTGAATAATGGTCCGCCCCTACCCTTCTCCAGTTACCAGGCAGCTTTTGTCTGTGGCAGGGTTAGAGCCTGTGACATATGCCTAACCTTCACATCACGTACTGTGCTCTTACCACTAGACTAAAGCCTAGGGGGCATTCAGCACCCAAACTCCCTTAATCCTACTCTTTGTCCCATCGCCCAATTATTATCTTCTCCTACTTGTTTTATTTGTTGTCAAATTTAACATTTACAAACCAATCAAAATAATAGAGAACTATGCAGCCTGTGTTCTACAAAAAGCAGGCACAAAGCTCAAGCAACAACTTTCAACCTTTGGAAAGAAGATGGAGTTGTTTGAGAGCTTGGATGGTCAGCTTGCACTTCAGATATACTGTTTTCACGTACAAATGGGGTGGAAGAGGAGGAAGAGAGATGCAGAAAAGGCAAGAGGAAAATGACCAGCTAAGCATGATATCTCAAGCCAACATACCACTGAAGAAGGGGGGAAAAGATGTAACAGTACCTTCTTCAGCAATAAAAGAGAGTTCGAGAGGCTGAACGTGTTTGAGACATGTCTCAAACACAATGAGGCTTATAAGAACCTAAATATTACATGAACTCTTGATAGATCAAATAGATCAAACATGGAAGTTTTACACATGAAATTAGCTACTCAGGGTATCCCAATAGCTTCTCAGTTTACAGTTATAGAAAGTGGATTGTAAGGTTTTTATTTCATGTAGTATATCTTTTATTATAAGGTGAATAATTTTATTAATAATGGAAAGATCTCCATATACAAGCTGTATACTAAAAATAGAGACCCTACATCAAAATGTGATTCTCTCAAACGACACCCGATCTTGTATACAAAATGAAACCACATGGGTGCACCAAAAGAAACTAGGAACGAGAGGCTACTCCTCAAATGTAAAATAGTCATTCTCTATCCTCTCCAGAGCTCTCCTATTTCTTAGTAGTAAGTCTACTCGGATAATATTGCAAAGTATCATAGCATGGTATTAAACAAGCTTTTTTTTCCTTTTCTCAATCTATTAAGTGAACAATTTTGCTGTCCAGATAAGGGAAAAAATGGAAAAAGTTCCCCTGACAAAACTTATTTCTTTAGGGCTTCTTACTAAATCCACGAACATATAACCCGTTTGTACTCAAAGAAGAAGACATCTGAATCCCATTCCACTACTGCAGTCATTTCATATCAACACAGACTCGATTGGAGGGGAATGCATGTAACATAGATAAGGACTATTTTCTTTCTAAGACTTCTACCTCAACTTGCAGTTGTACTCTTGCAAAATAGATAAATAATTCAAGAAATGTGAAGACCACAAACTCTACTCATTAGAAGCAAACAAGGATAATGACCAAGGGAAACTTACATCGCATACAGAACATGTTACCAATGAAGTTTCCAATTGTTGCAAGAGATCCTCCACCATTTTCTTTGGGAGTTTCCTCGCCATCTCTGATGAAGCTCTTCCAACAGAATTGTAACTCTCCCTTTTGACAAGTTTTGGGTGGTCACAAGCCTGCCGAAGTCGTAGAAGCATCAATAAGATATTTGCATAGTTTTGCTTCACAGTTCCAGCTGCAGCATATGCCTGCAAGACAGAGTACCTCTTTTATTAAAGATACACCACTAGAGCTAATGAAATCAGCCAATTAACAAAACATCAGAAGACTACTAGAAATCTCAAGCTGCTCTGGAGGTCAAAATTTTAACAATTGCTTCACAACTCGGAAAAGAACCAAAAGCTTAGTCTTGAAAATGAAGCCCTCTATGTAATAGGATTCCGAAATCCAAAACAAGGGAGGTGTGTTAAATTTATCATGAGGATGAGACAAAAGCTTCTTTCTTCTCACATTTCCATAACCAGATGACATCACTTCATATTCCCCCATCTTCAATTTGAAGTCATCTTTTTCCTTTTTCTGAGCCCCCAGATATGTAGCATAGAAATTTTGACCATATTGAACCAAATAAATGGACCTTCAATTCCCCAAATATGAGTAGGATATAAACATAATGAAGATTACAGTTATGCTAATGTACATCTTTCGCCAGTTAATCATCATATATACTAAATACTTGATAAACAGCATATTTACATGCCAAATCCAAATGCATTAAAATATGATAGTCTATTAATTTTGTACATGTCTAATATCCAAATGCATTAAAATATGGTACTCTATTATCTCACACGGATTGCACACATTCAGCAGTTTAATAAGCCCCACTCTTGCATGTCCCCGGATGTCAACAAATTAAAAGGTGTATCATGTTACAGTCATTCCCAGTGCATACAGTATCGGAGGTTGCAGCTTCCTTGAAAAACTTGTGACGGTCAAGCAAAAAATAACATTATCAATCTGTCATGAGATGTAGCTATATTCAAGTTATAAGACTACACTTTGTACACAACCACTTCTCTAGCCCCCCCCCCCCCC